AGGTACTGGGGGTAGATTCATAGATGGATGCTCATCAGTTTTAGGAAGGATCTACGAGAATATATTATGAGTTTCCATTTTCGAGTGGGCTTTAGTGGAAACTTGCGTTGGAAATCACGAGTATGTTCGTGCAAGGTCTGTATATCAGTCAGATGCGGGTTAAGAAAATATGTATGTCAAAGGCATCAGTTGGAGGGTTCAGGATTTAGCTTATGTGTGTGTGCTCTGGAATAGTTCTACCTATGTGAAGGTCGGGCAAGTTATGGGGCTTCAGAATAATAGCAACAATGTATCGGTTTGATAGTTAAGGAAATCAATATCTTGTATCTCATTGTGTGCATGGAATTGTTATCATCAGGAGTTGAATAGATAGTTTGATGGATAAGTGTCATGGATTTAGAATTGGTTCAGTATGGGCGGTCTGTCCGGGAGTCAGACCAATTCGAGACTTCATATTTTAAGTACAGTAGGTTGGGTTTCTGCATGGGATTATCGATTCGTCCTTTTCGGTTTGGAAAGTTCTGCTGGGTTCGGTTGCCTTAGGAAGGTCATTGTATGTTCAAGGTTGTGGTTGTATCCCTCAGGCTGTCAGGCATGCCGGAGATGGTAAAGAATGACTTCAAGGACGAAATCAAATTTAAGCAGGGGAGAGTTGTAATACCCGGTTTTGAATCGCTTCATTAATCTGGGTTGTGGCCCGATCATCAGTTATCATAAGGCTTAGGACCTTGGGGAAGAGAGGATTTGTCCCTTTTGGATGAGGGTGTTAAAGTCTAAGTGATCCGAGTGTTCGATGGTGTTTCGAAGCCCAAGGGCATAATCGTAATTTGTTAATTCAATCCTTTATATATTTTGGGCTTGGTTCGGGGATTTTTAAGGCTAAAGTGAGTTGTTAGAAGTGTAGGGCTTCTCGTCACCTTTCCGTAGATATAAAGTTCGTCGGAAACGGACTTAGATCGAGGAAGTTCTGGTCTTCAGAGTATTTTAAAGTTTAAGAAGGAACCCTAGTACACGGGGCGTACAAAAAGTTACTCTTTGCGTACTAGCTGAGAAGCTAGTATGCGGGGCATACCTATGGTGTACGCTTAGCGTACTAGTGGATAAGAGTCGCGGGTCAGTAGCCTCGTACGCTGGGCGTACGAGGAGTACGTTGGGCGTACGAGGAGGGGAATGGAAAACCCTAATTTTCGTGTTGTACCCTATATAAGCTTCATGTTAGCCTCTTTTGATCATTTATTAGACAACCTCCATATCCTAAAAACCCTAATTCGTTCCATAGTCTTTGTTTGGTGATCTTGAGCTCTTGTGAGGCTTTTGTGGAAAGTTTTTATGGATCCAGAAGAAGAAGAAGGAGCTTGAAGACTTGTTCTTTGAAGGAAAGCTTTGAGATCCAGCATTAGCATCTCCTTTTGGTGGCTTAGGAGGTATAAAGTCGAAACCTTTCCTTTTCATTGTTGGGTTTTGATACGAAATAAAAGTTTGTTTTTCACAAAAAACCGGCAACGGAAGACATTAAAATAGCAAGTCTATTTTAGTTCATAACAAAACCACACCATCATGGATCCATTTATAGAGGTTAGAATGAAATAAAAAACAACCATAGGATGTTTTAGAGATAACCTTTGACGCCTTTGAACACACTTGGTTTTGGGGTGTTGATGAAGATAGCAAAAATCAAAGTGTATGATTTCTCTACAAGTATCCACCATCAAGAGTAAGACACTTGGAATGCTAGTTCCTTCTTGTACTCTTGAGTGTCTAAAGCCATTAAGTGCTTAAATCAAATAAGCACTAAAGGATAACAACTCAAGAGGTCTTCTAAATACCAAAGTAAAGCACCAAACTTCAAAACAAAAGAGCTTCTTCATGCTCACAGATTTAGAGAGAAAGAAGAAGGGAAGAAGAAGAGCTTCACTCTTGCAAAAATGCAAGTCTCATGCATCTCTTATATAGCCCATGAAAAGTAAGGCCTAACCATTAAAATAATCTAAAGTAATGGTATCCTTTAGAAGCATGGGAGACAAAAGATGGAAGGTTGATAAAGCAACCTCCTACACCATCATTATGTCTTTTAAAAAGTAAGATTCTTTATTTTTTATAAACTCCAAGTTTATAAAATATAAACTTTGTCTTTAGGTAAAAGACAAAAGAATCCAACTAGTCCAAAATGTTGTGCATGACTTATTAATTCATACCATCTGAAATAATAATTAGTAATACTCTCTTATAATTATTATTTTCACAAAACAATAACTATTCCCTAACTAAAATACAAGAATCGATATTATTTATTAATAATCATATTTGTAATAAATATATACAAAATGTGCCAACTTGATAAAGGTGTGACCCTATAGGATCATATATTATTAGCAATATCACTCCATAATGATTATTGGGCATATAGATCCAACAAAATAGCATGATATTCCGTAGTTAAACATGATTAGAGATGGAATTTGCTACAGAACCATTCTATAGCAAAATTCTTCGTTAGTAAAGGTTTGTTACGGAATCCGTAGGACCTTCGCAACAGAATTTGCAACAAACTTATTCTGTAGCAAAATAGCTATGAACTATACCTGTAGCAATGTCGTAACAAATTAACTACAATTTTTTCCATAGCAAGTCTGTAGCAAATTAACTACAACCCGATCCGTAGTTCATCCGTTGCAAGTTAACTACAAACTAACCCCGTAGTTGATTTCCATAGAAAATCCACTACCGATAATAGCGTAGCAAATATTCCGTAGTGAATTTACGACGACATAATTCCGCATCAAATTTTTCGTAGTAACTTTACTATGGTTTATTTCCGTAGCAAATTTACAACAATACACTTGTGTTGCAAATATCTCATAGTAAAATTTATCATGTCCTACTTTCGTTGCGGAAAAAATGTGACATAATAGATTCCATAGAAATCCAGCTACACAATACTACATAAAAACATCTGTATTAACTCCATAAAAATATCAATAGCCAAAAATGGTGACATGATTAGTTCAAATACATACAAAAATGACTTAATTTTATTTCCAAAGCAAACTTATAACAAAATCAGCATTATGTAAATGCAATAACAATTTATCAAAAATATTGTAGAAATCCTATGTGAAATACTAAGAAACATTTCTAAGTTACCAAAAATATTGTTTGTCAGTACAAAATATCACCGAAAAATACAGGTTGCCAAAAAAGAAGACCATTATTTGCGAATTTCATCAATATCAGCTTCTGTGTATCCATCTTTGCCACCCCCAACCTGAGAAAAAAAATGTACTACACTATAAAGAGGGAAGAGCATGCAAAATCATGGGATATATAGAAAAAAATTGTAAGCAATTTGACATCATATACTACCCATCAATTTGAAAAATAAACATAGAATGGTCCTTTTAATTCATTTTCTATTATAGCATTGTATTGTCAAATAAATGAAAGTACATTGTTGTTTCTTGCATGCATATAACCTACTGTATCAATTATATAATTTGTCAAAACATGCTACCTTACATGTTATACTTTGTTTAGTTCTTGAAATTAGAGGAATGTAATAAAATGAAATTTTCGAAAGTTTAAGCTACATGTTCCTTTCTGAAAGTAACAAAAATGACATAATAGCATCCTACTTTGTCAAAACATGGAAACTTACATGATATGCTTTGGTAATTTCTTGAAATTAGAGGAATGTAATAAATTGACAAATTTTAAAGATTAAACTACACGTTCCTTTACTCAAGTGACAAATACATATGTCAAAATAGCATCCTACTTTGTAAATTAATTGAAATTAGAGGAATGTAATAAATTGACAAATTTTAAAGATTAAACTACAAGTTCCTTTGCTCAAGTGACAAATACATATGTCAAATAACATCCTACTTTGTTAATTAATTGAAATTAGAGGAATGTAATAAATTGACAAATTTTAGTGGTAACACTCTTAGCACTCTTTTTTTTATTTTCATTTTTTTTTCAAAAATAGTTAAATTGTATTTTTTTAAACCCAATATAATTTAATATACAATCCATAACAAACATCTATTAATGATGTTTACAATCAAGTAAAAATTATCTTTTTTTATTGCTATCAACTATGTTTTCTTTCTATGTCTTTCATATGCTACTTTTTATGAAACCATAAGACTTTAAGACAGTAAGACCTACTCTCTCAAAGCAGCATTGCCAACAGTCTGGGAAAATGTGATACACTTCACATGAACTTTTCATGCTCTGTTGATGAAGAAGCATCTACAATCACCCTCAAGATAGCAAGGGTAGATAAAACAGCAACCTGGAAAGAAAAAGAAAAGTGAGTTTTAATCTTTGAAGAAAGAAAGGCCAAGAAAAAAAGTCCATCAAGTTGTAGGACAATCCAAACTTACTCCTCCACCAAGTGAATGTCCAGAGAGAATGATTAATATAAGGATATAACTACTAACTTGTCAAATACAAAGCAAAGAAAAATAAAATGTATGTTCATTAATTGCAAATAACAGATTATGCTAGGAAAAGATTGACTTCAAAGTTTTAACAATATCATAAATAATATATATTCTTTTACAAGTTCAATAAAAAGCAGATATAGTTATGAAAGGTTAGAATTTATACAACATGTGTGTGCATATCAATGTTACGCAAGGTCCTGTATATTAGTTATGAAAGAAAAATGGAAAGTGCAGCATTCACATAGACAATCATAACAACATGCCATTGTTGTGGTCAGGTTACCTTCAAGAGCTTCGTTCTTTGGTCTCTGATCCACGATTCTACTCTCGGAGTGAAAGTGATGAATAGCTTTGACGGACCAATAACATTAGTTTCTCACCTTCTATCTCTTCTCGCCAGCATAGTAACGAGTCTCCGGTGGCGAGCCCCCTAACGTGCACTAGGGGGCGGTGTTACAAGTTGCTTGGCGTAGGTATTTGTCCAGCCCACTTCACTTAGCCTAATGCTTCCGATTTCGGAGCTCTCAGCAGCCATTTGTCCACCTGGATTCATAGGTGTTGGTCATCAACCACCCATGCATACGCACCAAATTTCACCAATGCCACCACTGTTTCCTCTCTGCAAAAAACACACTTTCTCATATCATAAACATTCAATAAAATGATGCTCGTTTTGATCATTGACTTAAAAATGGATCAAAAGTCAAAACCTGCCATAAAATGAAGCCCAATGGAGGGCGGTCCGGCCACGTGAATCTCTAAAATTAGGGCTGACACCGGCGGTGACCGGAGTGGAGGGCGGATGGAGGAGGCGGAAGGTGTGCACGTCGATAGAAGATACTTGAGGCGGAGGTCTAGATGTATATGATGTTGCTGGTTGTGAGCGGTCGTAGTTAGAGGCTTGATGGTGGAAAGAATCGATCGGTCGTAGTGAGAGGCTTGATGGTTGAAGAAATCGATCGATTGAGAGATGGAGAAAGAAGGAAGGAGGTAAGTAGAGTCGATCGATTGTGATTGTGAAGGACCACCGTTTTAGGTTTAGTGGTGTTAGGTTTTTTTATCGTGGGAGATAGGGAAACCGTTTTTAAGGATAGTAATTAAGAGTCCCTCTTCTAAAATAGTTATAAAAAATAGGTTAAACTATATTTATATTTAAAATAATATAAAAAAATTTAAAAAATTATATTATATTATATTTTATATTAATCATATTTATCAAATAACTTATAAAAAAATCTTTTTAAATATATATAAAAATTAATATCATTATCACAAAAATGAATATGATACTTCTTGTAAAAGCGTATGATTATCAGTTTGTGGTGAAAGTTTAAATATATCTGAAACAATTATCACATTAACCATAATAATAACTAGTTAAATAAACTCAAAATATATTAAGTTAAACTTGGAATAAACTCAAAGTATATGGGGTGAGAGTGGGAGTCTGGGTGTGGATGTGGAGGTGGGTGGGATGAGTCTGGGTGCAGGGTAGAGTTAGTTGAATGGGTGAGTAGGTGTGGGGTGGGGTAGCGACAGTATTTGGCTTGTGGCTTAAGGCTTAGGGCATATGGCTTATGGTGTAGTGCTTAAGGCTTATGGCTTGGGGTTAATGATTAGGGCTCATGGCCTAGGGCTTACGACGTAGGGCTTAACTATGTCTTAAGGCTTAGGGATTAGGGCTTATGACTCTTAACTTATGGTTTAGGGCTTAAGGCTTAAGGTTAATGATGTACGGCTTATGAGCTTCATTCGGGGGCCAATACGCATAGAGAAGGACCACAGTCGAACTAACAGGATGCGACCCCCCCCCCACCCACTACCACAACCACCAACAACAACAAATTGTTTTCTTATAAGGTTTCGGCGGTTCTTGTTGACCTCAAATGCAACATGGTTGTTGCTATAATCTAAAACTCATAATTCAAGAATGTCTTTAATCTTCTACATCACATAGTCATATGTAGATATATAAAAAATTTCAGTTCTCGAATAGAATGTGTCAGTCTCTAAAGTTCCACACATTAAAATCAATCGAATATAGTATTGGAGACTTATTCATTGGTCGTTCGGGATCGTTTAACGGTCTAAACTTTCATTGACGATGCGATAGCTGGTATGCACACTGATAAAAAATATACAATCTATTTTAAAAATTGATTTTTTACACGACCGACACTATTTACTTATGTGGGTTACTTAGACCAAGGGGGTGCATTTTCTATTAGGGGTGAGCAAACCCAAACCAAAAAACCGAGAAACCGACGAAACCAAGACCGAAAAACCCAAAACTAAAGCAAAACCGACGGTTAGGGTTTGCTATTTTTAAAAACTGAAAAATCGGGTTCGGTTTTGGTTTTTACCCAGAAACCGACCCATCCAACCCGGGAAACCGACCCACCCTTAAAAACGAAATACCGCCCCAAGAAACCGACCCATCCAACCCGAGAAACCACCCATACTTGATTGTGTTTTGGTTGTAATAGACTAATTCGAGCTTTAGTTGTAACTTGTTGCTTCATCAATGGAAAATGGATTGGAACCCAAAACCCATGGGTTTAAACCTAGAACTTGTGATTAGTGTATGGGTTGAACCCAAGAAACCGAAAAACGATCCAAACCGACCTCGGAACCTGAGAAACCGAATCGACCAGAAACCGGTCCTATTAGGTTCTAAAAACCAGAAAGTGGTTGCGTTGGGTTTGGGACCAAAACCGACCCATGTACAACCCTATTTTCTATTAAGAGGTTCGGTCGAGGTCCAATGCGCATCGAAAAGCACCACAATCGATCAAACAAACGGGATGTGACCAGCCCCTACCAAACAATTTCTAAGATTTTGGCGGTTCTTGCTTACCTCAAATGCAACATGGTTGCTACTAATGTATGGACTCACAGTTTAAGAAAGGCTTCAATCTTAAATATTAGAGGTGGGAATCGGTTTCGGTTTATGGGTGTTTTGGTTTCCTTGAATCGGTTTCCTCGGTGTGAGTCGTGAATTCGTGAGGATTATGAGTCGTAAATACTGAATACCGAAAACCATTAAACGGTCTAAGGTATAAAATGTATTTTACTTTATATTGGTTATTTAATATTTTATTTAATGTATAAAACATAAAAATAATTTTTAATTAAGTAATTAGTAATTGCAATTCAAGATTTCGGTTTTAAGGGTTTAAACTTTACTTGAGAAACCTCCAAACACTTAAAATTGCATACTGGAAACTTCTATTGTATAATATTAATGGTTTTTATATTATAGTATAATAGCTAGGACCTATGAACTTGTAGCAAATTCTGTAGCGACATAGCTACGGATCTTGACTCCGTAACAAATGTCGTAGCAAGCTAGCTACGGACTTAGATGTGGTAGCAAATTTTGTAGCAAAATAGCTACAGATTTTGATTCCGTAACAATTTCTGTAGCAAAGTAACTACAACCTTTAATCTGTAGAAACAATTGTAGCAAAATACCTACGCCTTATAATTCTGTAGCAAATTTCGTAGCATGATAACTACGGACTCCGATTGTGTAGCAAAATTTCTGTAGTTATTAAAATATTAGCTATAGAATGCAATTCTGTAGCTAATTCGGTAGCAAATATACCTACGTCTAACTAGTTCGTAGCATCTTCCATAGTAGAATAGATACGGTTTTTAATTATGTAGCAAAATTCCATAGTTATTCAAATATTACCTACGGAATGTAATTCTGTAGCAAGTTCCATAGCAAAATAGCTACAACAAGCCATTCCGTAGCATAATCCGTAGCAGAATAACTACGGATTTTACTTTCGTAGCAAATTTCTGTAGTTATTTCGACTTTTTCTTGTAGTGTTCGATGGTGTTTCGAAGCCCAAGGGCATAATCATAATTTGTTAATTCAATCCTTTATAAATGTTGGGTTTGGTTCGGGGAGTTTTATGGCTAAGGTGAGTTGTTAGAAGTGTAGGGCTTCTCGTCACCTTTCCGTGGATATAAAGTTCATCGGAAACGGACTTAGGGGCTGTTTGATTTTAGGCTTACTGGGTCCGGTCAGTAATTTTGGACTGATTCGGTCCAGTCAGCCCGTTTGGTAAGCTCAAAAAGTGGCTGACTCGGTCAGCTTTGACTGACCCAATAGCTTACCCGGTCCATTGATTATTAGTAGCTGACTCAAAAAAATTGACTGATATGCCCTAAAGAAAAAATGACGCACGCAACCTCCCTCTCTTCGGCTCTCTTCATCGCTACTTTGTCTCTTCCTTCTTCCACAAAAAATTGAAGGTGCAGTCTTCCACCCGGCCAAATCGACGCCGCCGTCGTCTCGTGGCCACCTATCCCTGCCTATCGCAACGTCTGACTTGCTGCAAACAGGTTTATTTTTTTTTTTCTAAAATCTATTTTTTGATGTTGAGGGGTTGTTTATGAACGAAAATTTGGAAAAACCCCCTTTTTATGTATAATGTAAGAAATCAGATTGTATATTGAATTGTTCAATTTTTGTTGATGTCCTTCCAACCTGGTTGACTTGCTAGTTTTTCAATTTGTTGTTGTAATTTATTGTGACTTGTTTCTGAATTGATGTTCGAATATACACCATTATTGTTGAATTATTGATGAGATATAAGTGTTAAATCAACAAAAGATATTTTGTTGTATGAAGTTATGATAATCAGTTTTATATTGTGCTCATAGTACGATTACCTTTTATTTCTTTTAATTGGAGAGTCAAACAACAAAATAGGTGCTTACAATCACAACTGAAGATGGAAGTGAGAATAGTATTTTGGAAAAACCTGCATTGGTTCATTAGTCTTTTGTTTTTTGATTGATTCAATTCATTATTCCTAGTTTTTTTATATGATTATTGAAATTCATCAGTACAAATATGGATTTAGATTATAGTTACACAGGTGAATGGTTGTAAGTTTATTTGTGTGTACAAATCTTATTTTGGAAAATGTATTTTATATAAGTTTTATGAAAAATGTTGTATATATTTATTTGTATATGAAAAATGTGTGTATACTTGAGTAAAAACAAAAAAGAGAAAGGGAGAAGAATGAATTTTATATATTATGAATGTTTTTATAAAAAATGTTGTTTGAGGGTAATATAGTCATTTTTGCACTGTCAGTCAGATGTAAAATCAAACAACAAGTTTCAATCAGAAGTTAATTCAGTCAGAACTTCTAACCCAGTCAGGTTCTAACCCAATCATCTCTAACTCAGTCAACAACTATCAAACGACCCCTTAGATCAAGGAAGTTATGGTCTTCAGAGTGTTTTAAGGTTTAAAAAGGAACCCTAGTACGCGGGGCGTACAAAAAGTTACGCTTTGCATACTAGCTGAGAAGCTAGTATGCGGGGCATACCTCTGGTGTACGCTTAGCGTACTAGTGGATAAGAGTCGCGGGTCAGTAGCCTCGTACGCTGGGCGTACGAGGAGTACGTTGGGCGTACGATGGGGGAAATGGAAAACCTTAATTTTCGTGTTGTACCCTATATAAGCTTCATGTTAGCCTCTTTTGATCATTTATTAGACAACCTCCATATCCTAAAAACCCTAATTCGTTCCATAGTCTTTGTTTGGTGATCTTGAGCTCTTGTGAGGCTTTTGTGGAAAGTGTTTATAGATCTAGAAGAAGAAGAAGGAGCTTGAAGACTTGTTCTTTGAATGAAAGCTTTGAGATCCAACATTAGCATCTCCTTTTGTGACATCCCCATTTTTCCCGGCCATAAAAGACCAATTTTTGTTTATGCTTTATAAAAATCAGAGTACCTCTTTTAATAAAAATGTTGTGGAATTTGTTCCCAGAAAAACATGATAAATACGTTATCAAACCATTTCCGAAGAAATGTATTTTTATCCATTTTAAAACATTTGGGATGTCATCGTCAAGACAGAAACATAAGCATAAACAGAACTTACATTCATTTACACTAGTGATCTACATCTCTTTTAAATCCATCAGTGTAAAGTAGCTTCATATCGACACCTGTGATACAAATCAGCTTGAGTGGGTTAGGTTGGGAAACCTGGTGAGTACATAGGGTTTTCAACCCACAATAATATAATTATTATGTTAAACACCAAACAATCAACCCAATTACCCATCCCCATTATCTTCTTTACTCTTAAGGATCTACCCTAAGATTCAGTTATTCCTCGTTCATTCATTCCTAAGGATCATCCTAAGGAATCGACACAAAATCCATCGTTGCCAAGGTTTACTCAATAGGCACTAAGTCGCATAGTCCCTAGGGTTTATAAAACAGGGTACATCTGGTGAACACGCACTTCAAAACATCTGGTGAACACTTAGTTCAAAACATATGGTGAACACTTAGTTCAAAACATATCGTGAATACTTAGTTCAAAAATACCTAGTGAATACGTAGTTCAAAAACACCTACAAGTTACGAGCCTGCTAGTGTTCCACTGGACTGTCTAGAATAGTCCGTGGTCATCATCTATACTCTGCTAGATGGCTAGATCATCTGAAACTCTGAGGCCTCTCATCATTTTATCACACATCAACTATTTGATGGGTTTTGCGCATTCTAACACTCCTAAGTGTACATGCAACCCTAAATACCTTGGATCTATGTTTTCTCTATTATACATGCAATTATGAACTTTCCAAGGTATTACCCTATCTAGCATACAATACTTGATACTTGGGTAATCAAATGGATAGAATACATACCTTTGTTTGATGTAGCTTGTCTCCATGAAGCTTGAGTGCCTAGTGCCCCAAGTGTGACACCTCAAATGGTTCACACAACACCAAATGCACATGGAATGACTTGAGAGAAATGGAACACTCCTTGAAATCGTCTAGCCCTCATATTCACACATTAGTGCACGATTTCTTGAGCCATGGGATTCTTTTATATGATGGCTATTAGGGTTACACCATGTAACTCATAACTTTACCCATTCCTTATGCTCCATGGATTTTAACCTCCATGGAGTATCCATGGATCACCCCATGGACTTAGTCCAACATAAGGAATCTTGGATCACAAGCCCACATATATAAGAATGAATGATTTACACAATCAACCCATATATTTAATTAGTCTCCTTTTGATCACTTAATTAATTCCAAATTAATTCTTGATCAATACTAATTAAATAACCTTATTAATATATTAGAACTTATAATAACCAACCTTAAGTGTTATTTCTCTCATTATAGTCTATCCAAATGCATGATGCCATGCAACCCAAATGGACCATGCCGGGTCGGGTCAAGTCTTACCAATTATAGTTATGGACTTAGACATTAATCCAACAGTCTCCCACTTGGATAAGTCTAAAACTATTATTGCGTATGACTTCAGGAACCGATCAGCAATCGTAGCTCTCAAAAGCTTCTGTCGAACTCTGACCTTGTCGATGAACTCTGACCTTTGTCAATGACTTGTCCATTAGATAAGGGATCAATATTCCTCCATTCTAGATATCATATGGACTGAGACATGGATTATCAATCATTCTCTCTGTCCATTTGTTGTTTCCCGATTTCCGATTCATGATGACTGACTGATTGAACAAATCAAATCAGTCCTGGCTTGGCCAAGCACTCACATGTATCATCTTTAAATCATCGAGGGGCCCACAGATATCGCTTTTATCCCGAAGGTAAAAGGAATGGATAAACTTCGACTCATATGGCTTGTTCTACTACTTGTTGAATCATACACAAAGGCACGTTTTATAACATCGAGTTACCGAATGCGTTTTCGTGCAATCAATGTACAACCAACTCATAGTAACAACTCATATCTCTAGGTTTGAAGAATATAAGATATTATCGTCTCATGATCACTCGTGATAAAATCCATGAAGTGATTCAAATGAGCGCGGGTTGAATCCAATA